GGGTAAGAGGGCCCTACTCTTTCGAGCTTACAATCTAGGAGGGGAGGGGGGTAGAGGTACAGGAAGAAATGGCTGTGGGGGATGGAGTGGTAGGAGGAGGGAAGGGCAGCGGCTGTTAGGTGAGGGTGGGGTAGGCTTCCCTGAAGAGGTGGGTTTTCAGGAGCGCCTGAAGGTGAGGAGGGAAGGTGACAGTCTGATGGATTGGGGTAGTGAGTTCCAGAGGATGGGGGAGGACCTGGAGAAGTCTTGCAGTCGTGCGTGGGAGGAGGAGACCAGGGAGCAAGATAGGAGGTCCTGTGAAGAGCGAAGGGTACGGGTAGGGTGGTACCTGGGAATCAGGTCGGTGAGGTAGTTAGGGGCAGTGTTGTGAATGGCCTTATAGGTCAGAGTGAGCAGTTTGAATTTAATGCGTTGGGCAATGGGGAGCCAGTGGAGGGAGAGGCAGAGGGGGGTGGCAGAGATGGAGCGGCTGGTGAGGTGGATGAGTCTGGCAGCTGAGTTCAGGATGGTCTGAAGCGGGGAGAGTTTGCACTGGGGTAGGCCGGTGAGGAGGGAGTTGCAGTAGTCAAGGCGTGAGATAATCAGGGAGTGTACGAGTAGTTTAGTGGTGTCTGGGGTAAGGAAGGAGCGTATCTTGGCGATGTTCCGGAGGTGGAGCCTGCATGTGTTTGTAAGTGATTTGACAGGAGGTTGAAAGGAAAGGTTTGAGTCCAGAATGACGCCAAGGACTTTGGCTTGCTGGGCGGGATTGATGGTGGTGGACTTATTGGAATGTTTTTCCTTTCTGGATTCCTGCTATGATTTCCCAGATGCGTACTGGCAACATAGCCTAATGGCAGAGCTTCCAGATTGATACTTTTTTTTTTGGCATGCCACTGCAACCATATCCGAAACCCGCCATAGGTGGAAGATGCGAGGCTGGCATGTAAAGTCCCTACCCTTATATTTGGTACTCCTCTTTGGCACATAGTGGAAAATGTGGAGTTAACCTGGGTGCTGTTCAAGTCCAGGACAGTGGCAATACACACTGTGACCCAGTCCCTTAAGACCCCAAGGCATATGCCTTTCCGAAGGGGGTATACCTTGTCCTCACTGTGATGGCAATCACCTGCAGTGGTGAGTCGGGCCTGGTCTTTTAAACACCTGATGGGTGTCCCTGTGCTGCTGTTTTTTCCCCTACAGGTGCATTGCCTAGAGCAGCCTTTATCAACCAGGGTGGCCTGAGGTTTCTTCATGGATACCTTGGAAAAATGTCTAAAAATTGCCCAAAAACTGTATACAAGCCAGCAGGTGAAACAAGCCTGCCTTTTAATTGCACAAAGCCACAGGTTTTCATTGTGCACCTTTATGACCTAGCCACCTGCGTCCTGACAACCAGTAACATCATTTTCCTATGGAAAAGATCCTATCCTTTTGCACTCAGTGCAGACTCTTCTGTACAAGAAAATTGCCCCTCATTTGTCTTTTGTATTATAGTACTGGTATTGATGGTAGCGTCCTTCAAGGCCATGCCTTTTGCCCAGTTTCACTCCAATGCACCACAGCGCAACTTCCTACGAGCAAAGGAAGTTCCGTACTAGATGATACTCCTTTGGGACATGTCCTGGCCTTTTTCCAGTCTGGTCTGGATCAGTGTTTGGTCTTAGGCACCATCAAGGTACAAAACTTGGCCCTAGCTATCCTTTTTTTTTAGTGATCCATGGTCCTGATGAAAGCCTTTAAACAGAGGGTTGCTCACTTAGCTCCTCCCAGACTCTTCATTAACACTGTAGGATCTGCACCTAGGCCTGTCAGGTCTCCAGGGGCTTACCTTCAAGCATGTCTGGGACATCTCTTAGCTGACCTAACATGCAAGGTGGTTTTCCTTGATGCAATCACCTGTGCTAGGTGGGTGTTTGAATTGGCAGCTTTGTCATGTAAGGAACCATTGTTGGAGTTACAAGAAGTCCTTCCAATTGCCCAAGGTGGTCTCTTCTTTTCACCTCAACCAGTGTGTCCTGTCCTGCTATCATTTTTTTTTTTTTTCTTCCCCCATGTGCTAAGCATCCTAAAGTGGTTTCTCTGCACTGTTTAGACATGGTTCATGCTGTATGGGTTTACCTCTCGGCTACAGCTTTATTCAGGCAACCTGACTGTCTTTGTGCTCCTTGAAGGTTCTCGCAGGGGTTTTCCTGTTTCTCATTCCACCATTGCCAGGTGGATTAGATGGGTTAAGAGATTGAACCTATACTTTGCGGTCTGAGGTTCTACCCTTTTCCATCAAGGCACACTTCACCAGGTTGTTGGGTGCCTCCTCTACTACCAGTATCTGTTTCACTTATATGCAAGGCTGAAACCTGGAGTTCTGTTCACTTGTTTGATTTACCAGATGGATGTTCAGGCCTCTGCTGATGCTGGCTTTGGCCCCAGAGTGCTCATGGCTGCTGTCTAACATTAGGTCCCTTGACCCTTGGTTTTGTGTTGGCCTGTTTAGTATTTGCTGTGTTGTCCACCCTCGTGTTGTTATGCTTTTAGAGGTCCCAGTCATTTAAGGCTCTGGCTGTGTCTTGTACTGTACTAGGAAGAAAACCAGATTTTTTTTTTTACTTGCTAGTAAAATCTGTTTCTTGGAGTAATGTACAGGACACAGAATTAAATGTGTCCAATAACACAGTTGTCCTAAGACTATGCCTGTGTCCTGTCTTTTACTCCAAGAAATAGATTTTATCGGTAAGACAAAAGTCCTGTTTTCCTGCTGTCTGAAGACGGTAAAACAAGAAAAAAAAAAATGCTGATTCATGATCTAGAGAACTGGAGGTAAATGTATTTTTTTAAATATATATATTTTTTATATATATATATATATATATATATATATAATATAGTGCTAAATATACTAAATAAATACTACTGTCCAAAAATTATATTGTCCACAAATAAAAAAAAAAATACAGCCTATTGTGGACAATATAATTTTTGGACAGTAGTATTTATTTATTAGTGTTATTTAGTATATTAGCATATATATATATATAATTTATTACACTTTTTGAGGTGAAAAGTGTTTAGGTGCAATTAGGGAATTATTTAAAGGGTACACCATTCATTTTTTTTTGTTAATAAATGTTTTTTTTTATTTTAAAATACACCTCCTTCTGAAATAAAGTAAACATATTGGACATGAGCTTGTTCAAGTAGTCATACTAATCTTTAAAGCTAGTGATAGTCAAATAATTGGATTCATGCACCTGGTGTAAATTCAACAGACTGGTTTTGAAATACATAATTTATTATAATTCTGTACAATGTAAAGTCATGAAAAGGTTTACATCTAATAAAGAATGAACACTGAAGATGCAACATTAAAGTAAAACCAAACAATAGAATTGGAAATTACATAAAAGAACAAATAACCAACATCCAAAGGAAAACACTTAAAGCAAAGTAAATGAAAACAAAGTGTTCTACCTTATTCATTAAGCAAACCTGAAGTGCTGTAGTTACTAATATTGTGAAATATTTACAAGTAGATGTCTCTACATCAATTCAACGCTATTTAAAAGTGCACCCAGTAGTTTTGGGTCTGCTTTTGAAAAGTGGACAAAAGGAAAAAAAATTACAAAGGCTTCTTATTGTGCAGCTCTATTCAATCTGGATCCTGAAAGTCCAACTCTCAAGTGGTTTTTGTTTTTTTTTTTTTTTCCTTTTGTGAGTGCAGGGAGCTCTTCACTCGCTGTATGTGCTCAGTCTTCTGGCCTAGTGGTGAAAAGGAATTCCTGCAAGTGTCCTTTGAGCGAAGTGGTACAGACAGGCAGCTGAGTGGTCCTGCTTCTTGGAGCACCTGACCCAACTTTGATTTATGGTAGTGGGGAAAATATGCGACCCTCCTGCTGCGGTTTATGAATGACCATCACCCATCAAAGTTTGTTTTTTTACATATTCTTTACTTTACTTCTTGAGGTGGTATAGGAGAGCAGAATATTATTAAAAGTGGTATGGGCTAACAGCATTACCTGTCAGCTGTCTACTCTTCTTACCCCAAAGTTCACCTTAATCGCCATTTAAAACTTTAAGTTTTGAGAGAATAGGTAAGGGTTAGAACTTATGTCTGGGCAGCTGCACCTTAAAGAGGAGCTCCCATCTACAACTACTGTTACACCCATTTTTAGGGTGTTACAAGCCCAGGGATCTATTGATGTTGTCACTTGAGTTGATTTTTCAGTCTGCCGTGGGTGCGGGTGCCAACATTTTCGGTAAGGGAAGTCGACAGTGAAGCATCTGGTTTCCTACTGCGTTGTCCTACTTCGCTTTGTGAATGAACCTGCATGCATCCCAGAAGTTTGTGGGGGGGGGGATGTTTTGAGGAGGGGCTGAACATCCTCACAGATTGCGATCTGACCTGGAAGTGGAAGCAGATACCTGTCAAAAGCAGGTACCTGCTCCCCCCCCCCCCTTCAAATAAAAAGTGCCAAATGAGGCAGTGGAGGAGAGAATGCAAACAAGCAGAACTTACCCTTTTTGGGTGAAGTTCCGCTTTACCGTACTGTTGTGTCACTTGGACAGGCATAGGTGGCACAATATCAAATGGGGTCCTAGCAATTCTATCGTTTTTGTTAGTACACAGGAAGTGTCAAAACCCTCTCATGGTTTTTGAGATCAGTTACTCTTACAGTTTTCTAATTCCCTGCTGTATCATCAGGATAGAAAGTGGAGGGTGATCTCCTAATAAAATTAGAAATCTCAGAGGTTGTACACTTTCCCACCTCTATGCAAAATCTAAAAGAATGTTTTGCCTTTTTAGAAATAGAATTCCAGAATTGGGACCCAAAGCCTAGGCTACAACAAAATGACTCGTACTATGTGGAATTGGCATAGACACTGACCAGAAAAATTTGCAACATATCCCATAGGTAAACAAAATTACGAGTAAAAAATGTAAATAAAAGGTTTGGTGAATCTCAAATACAAATATCTTTTGTGTGCTTGGTTCCATCTGATGTCAGCATGAATATTATCATATGTCATATTGTAGACTGCTCTTGCAGAAAGTTTTCCGTTCCTGGGATGATTCTTTCTGGTTCTGTTGCCATAGCGGCTTCTCGAAGAACTTGCATGTGTTCCTCTGCAGCTGACAATGACTGGTCTATCCAGTCCAAACCAACTTTTAAGTGACATGCATTTTTGGTCACCAATACAAGATGGCTGACAGACAAGAGGAGAGCAGTGGTTCTGCAAAAAGAAAATGAAATATTACACACTGCACATTTGTGCTTTCTGGTCATAGCAGTGTTTTCCCCATCCATGTCAAGTCCCATCAAAAGTTATCTACACTATATTGCCAAAAGTATTGGTCGGCCTGCCTTTGCATGCATATGAACTTTAATGGCATCCCAGTCTTAGTCGTAGGGTTCAATATTGAGTTGGCCCCGCCCTTGCAACTATAACTGCTTCAACTCTTCTGGGAAGGCTGTCCACAAGGTTTAGGAGGGTGTCTATGGGAAGGTTTGACCATTCTTTCAGAAGCACATTTGTGAGGTCAGGCTCCGATGTCAGATGAGAAGGTCTGGCTCACAGTCTCCGTTCTAATTCATCTCAAAAGTGTTTTTCTTGGGTTGAGGTCAGGATTCAGACAAGTTCCTCCACCCCAAACTTTCCATGTTTTTATGTACCTTGCTTTGTGCACTGGTGTGCAGTCATGTTGGAACAGGAAGGGGCCATCCCCAAACTGTTCCCACAAAGTTGGGAGCATGAAATTGTCCAACATTTCTTGATATGCTGACGCCTTAAGAGTTCCCTTCACTGGAACTAAGGCTCCAATAATCCCCCTCCACCAAACTTTTCACAATGCAGTCAGGCAAGTACCGTTCTCCTGGCAACTATCAAACCCACACTTCCATCAGATTGGCAGACAGGAGAAGCGTGATTGGAGACTCCAGAGAACACGTCTCCACTGTTCTAGAGTCCAGTGGTGACTTTTGGCTTGCTTTACACCACTGCATCTGATGCTTTGCATTGCAGTTGGTGATGTAAGGCTTGGATGAAGTTGCTCGGCCATGGAAACCCATTCAAACATTTATTCCATGAAGCTCTCTATGCACTCTTGTGCTAATCTGAAGGCCACATGAAGTTTGGAGGTCTTTAGCTATTGACTCTGCAGACAGTTGGCGACTTCTGCACACTGTGCGCTTTAGCATGCGCTGACCCCTCACTCTGCCATTTTACTGTGGCCTACCACTCTGGTGGCTGAGTTGCTGTTGTTCCCAGTTGCTTCCACTTTGTTATATATACCACGAACAGTTGAGCGTGGAATATTTAGTAGCCAGGAAACGTCACGGATGGACTTATTACAAAGGTGGCAACCTATCACGGCACCACTCTTAAATTTACTGAGCTTCTGAGAGCGACCCATTCTTTCACCAATGTTTATAGAAGCAGTCTGCATGCCTAGTGTGATGATTTTATACACCTGTGTCCATGGAGGTGATTGGAACACCCGAATCCAATGATTTGGAGGGCTGGCCTAATACCTTTTGGCAATATAGTGTATCTCAAGAAGATGATTTTGCTACCTTTATGGATATCCACATTGGCATGAACTGTTAGGGAAATTACAGGTCGGGAAATACTGAACTAGAGGTTTAATGCTTGATAGGACAGTCACTTGGCCGGGTTAAAAAATTGGTGAAAAGGCCTTTCTGATATTGCACTACTTACTAGACTTTTGGATTGCGGGACAACAGGCTAGACACCAATGGTAGTCCCAAAGTTGAACCCTTAGTAGCAAATTTAGTTCTTTGCTATGAGACTGGGTTTTTAGTTGTAGGATTTAGAAGATGACAAAGTCCCTGCTGATGGGATTTTTTTTTTTTTTTTTTTGTGCAGAATTGGAGTTACAACATTTTCTTGATTGTACAATACAGGACACTGGCCTAGTCCTAGATGACTGGGCTATATGTTTCTACCTTTAGGTGATTGGATGCTGGCAAACAGAACTATTGGGACCCCCATATAATCACTCCCATTGACTGTTAACCTCAGTATCCCTCTTCTTTTTTTTTTTTTTTCTCATTGGCCCAGCCAAATTATTAACATATACAGTACTTGTTTAGGGAATTGGCCCGCTGTCATACGTACCTTGCATCAAGCAGCTTTGGATCTAAAGGAGGGTACATAGAACGGACCACATCATCGACTCTAAATATAAAAAAAAAATCAGGCAAAAGTCATTTGCACTAGCCCTGCAGAATAAAAAGTGTTTGCAATTTTTTATGTCACATGATATGCACAACTATTTTATTAAATCTATATTTTCAGTGAAAAGAAATTTTAGTTCACACAAAACAATGGGAGTAATGACTGGCGCAACACTATTTTAGGTTTGTCTGAGCAACCCACACCAGTTTTGGTTTCAGAGTGAAATAGAAACTGGCATAGGGTCTACACATAAAAAAAACAAAGGGATTGTGGCAGTTTTCAGTATAGAAAACTGCTCTGCATCCCTCCAGATTGGTCCTGGTGTACCAGATATGAACTGGCAGCTCGCATGCCTCTGTCGATGCAGTGAACAGGGTTAACAGCCTTCCACTCTTTGTGGGGGAGGGGGGTGCGCAGGCAGAAGGATCTAGAGCAGGGGTCTCCAAACTATGGCCCTCCAGCTGTTGAGGAACTGCAAGTCCCATGAGGCCTTGCTAGACTTTGACAGCCACAGGCAAGACTCCCAAAGGCAGAGGCATGATGGGACTTGTAGTACTTCAACAGCTGGAGGGCCATAGTTTGGACTCCCTGATGCATGCATTTCCACCTGAACAGGTATTGGATCCCTGCTAATTAAAGTGGTTCTGAAGCCTTAACCCTTTGAGGACCGTAAGATTTTGGAACGCCAAAAGAATCAATTTTTTTGTTTTTAAAGTTCGTACACTACAGTTGCTGTAACTAAGCATTTCATGAAATATTGGCAAAAAGCTAGATCCATTTGTTGTTTGTTGATAAGAACTAATATTTTGACTCAAACCAAAAAAAAAAAAAGAGTTTTAAGTTCGTAATCAGATGATACAGGCAATTAAAAACATGGGACAAATACCCTTGGTCCTCAAAGGGTTAAAGGATAAGTTCACCTTTTGCACAAAAATAACAAATGCACATTTTTTTTTTTTGCAGGTAAAATAATAATATATATATATATATATATATATATATATATATATATATATATATTATATATATTTATAATTTTTTGTCTGCTAGTGCCTGTAAAGCACTGCACCAGTGTTCAGTAGATCACTGATGCCATGCAGGTCTCCTGTAGATCTGTCAGTATATCTGCTTGCCCGTATGGGATGTACAAGCAAGCAGATATACTGACAGGGGCGATTCAATGAACTACCACGTTGCTCCATGTTAGTTTGTTTGTTGAAAACTTCAAGTCGACAGCCGCTAAGGCTGTTGGGACTTGCAGTTCATTCATTCACGTAACTCTGAATGATGCAACCGTGCGGGCGGAGCCCCTCATGTCCGCTCTGTTTTCAAATCTGACAGGTTGGGGAATTTCTCCCCTGTTGCAGGGTGGGGGGGGAGGACGTGGCGGCAGGGTGGTGGGATGTGGAGACCTATGACTCCCAATAGAGACTGCAGCATTGGGAACATGTTACATGGTCCACCAAAAAAATGGGTGGACCATGTAACATGTTCCCAAAGGTGAACTTATCCTTTTAAGGTTTTTCATCTTAATGCATAAAATGCATTAGGGTGAAAAACCTTCTGTGCTGCAGTGCCCCCATCCCCGCTCCCCTTTTTCTTACCTGAGGCCGCTTCGATCCAGCAAAGTGCACAAGAGTAGTAGCTCTAGTTTTTGTATCTGCCTCATTGGGCAGATTGATAGCAGTGGGAGCCATTGTCAATTAAAAGCTGTGACATGGGGGTTTGGTTGAGCCAGAAAAGAGAGCGAGCCCATATGTGCGCCCTAATGGAAAGCTTTCCATGGGGGCACCTGCTGAAGAGGAGGGGCCAAGTGCGCCAGGGGGGGGACCCCAGAAGAGCAGGATCGGGGCTGTTCTGTGCAAAAGTTTTTGCAAGATATAAAAAAAAAAATGAGATTGTTTAAAGTAAACAGATAACAAATGTATGCCACATAGCTGCACCCACAAAATAACGAGGGTACCCGAAATTATCCATGGGTGAAATCCTGGGACCTAGAATTGGGCGACGTCCTATATGTGCGTTTGCATGCGAATGTAGATGCTCAGGGCGGAAGGCTTTTTTTTAAAAAATATTTTTGCTATTTTTTAGTAATTTGTTTTACTTTTTTTTTGCCATGTTCCTACATGTAGAATAAATTCCAGCATTTTTTTTTTACCCCCATCCTTGAATCTGGAGGAGGAATGGGGGCTTTAGCAGTCATGTGACTGAAAGAAAACCGTAGGCAAAATGTTGTTAAGGCTTTTTAAGAGAGATTTTGTTTGGCATGCTTAAGGAAACCTTGTTACTGTTAATTTGCCTTTTAGAGACTAAACTTTTTACATCGACTTTAATGTGGAGAAAGACTCCCAATAGAGACACAGACGGTGCTGAAAATTTGAAAAGAATCCCTAACACCTTCTGAAAGGTTTGGTTGTTGGCCACTTTATGTATGCCAAGTTTATATGTATGCCACAACAGTAAATTAAGGTACCTGTGTAAAAATATAATTACGGTATATGAAAACTTTTCCTAATACATCATACCCAAGATCTTTGGGGTATGATATTAGACCCTCACCCACCCTAACTTTACTCTACTCTTCTTGATTCAGTGTCCAGTCACATGGTGATGAGGAGACCTATAAGTAAAAGTGAAGCTGCAGCAGAGAAAAAAGTCCCCTTCTCTTCCAGGCCGAACGATACTGTGTGGCAGAGTTGTATAAATCTCAGGATTGGATGGATAGGAATACAGATTCTTTGATATCTTTTGACTTTAAAATTGTATCTTCAGCCTATCACGACTCCTTTAAAGTAAGGAGGCAACTTAGGATATTTTTTATAAATCAAATGCTCAGAGAGACTCACCGGGGGCTGATCCTCTTGGCAACAATAATGATTTCACTAAGACTGGATGGAGATTTCATTTTAGCGCCAGATCCCATTGTCATAGCCACCAGTTTTTCTGTCAGGGTATGGCAGATCTACAAACAAATAGAATGAAAAGCTTGTAAATGTGGTGGTATAAGATCATTTGGGTATGGGAAGGGGGTATGGGGGAAAAAAAAGGTCAGAATTGCACTGTGCAAGGTTCTGATAGGTCAGAGTTTTAATTGGGACACAATTAACCAGGTCAGATGGTTGCAAGGCTGTAAATAACTAAAAAATAGGTCACTAGCTTATTTATTACAGGTACTTGTATAGCGCCATCAATTTATGCAGCACTTTACATATATATTGTACATTCACATCAGTCCCTAACCCTCAAGGGGCGTACAATCTAAGGTCCCTAACATTTATACATACACATACTAGGACCAATTTAGACAGGTTCCAATTAACCTACCAACATGTCTTTGGAGGGTGGGAGGAAACTGGAAGAAACCCACGCAGGCACAGGCAGAACATGCAAACTCCAGGCAGGTGGTGGTTGGGATTCGAACCAACGACCCTAGTACTGCCAAGCAGAAATGCTAACAATCTAGCTGCTGTGCTGCCTTATAATTTCATTGTTTTATTGCCTTATTTATTCTAAAACTTTTACAATATGTTTAGCATTTATGTGTTGCTTTAAAATAATGACTCAAGCTGGGGGTTCCATTTTAAGTCGGGCGCTGAACCTTTTGAAGAACAAGGGCATTTGAAGTGATTTGGCAACTGGTTGTGGGCCCCAATGAACTATGGCGTTTGGACTGCCTCCACAAACCGCATATTTAAACAAGCCCTTACTGTCCTGAGCCCCCTATAAGGCTGCTTTCACACTGATGTGCTGCGGATTACCCACACCACAGGTGCAGCGCAGTGCACCTGCTGCTTTCATAAGGGTTAGCTGCACTTTGCAGTAGACTTCTAGTATACAGGGGAAACTCAAAAAATTAGAATATCGTGCAAACGTTCATTTATTTCGCTAATGCAACTTAAAAGGTGAAACTAATATATGAGACTCATTACATGCAAAGCAAGATAGTTCAAGCCGTGATTTGTCATAATTGTGATGATTATGGCTTACAGCTCATGAAAACCCCAAATCCACAATCTCAGAAATTGAGAATATTACATGCAATCAATAAAACAAGGATTGTACATAGAACAATATCGGACCTCTGAAAAGTATAAGCATGCATATGTACTCAGTACTTGGTTTGCGACATGTCTTTGCTAAAAAAAAAAAAAAAAAATCCCAATACGTGTAAATTAATTGGTTTGCGTGAAAGTTATAGCGTTTACAAATAGAGGTATAGATACTGGATTTTTTTTTTTTTTTAATTAGTAATGGTGGTGATCAGCAACTTATAGCGGGACTGCAGACATTCTGACACTGGGGGGAACTGGAACTGACTTGGTGTCACTGACATTCCCAGAGACACCAATACAGTGGTCAGTGTTAAAAAAAGCACTGACACTGTACTAATGGCACTGGGCGATCAAAAGGTTAACTGTGTGCTGGGAGTGTTTTACTAGGGAGCCATGTCTGTGTGCTTCACTGTAAGCACACTGCTTTAGTTGGCTGTGCTGCGTGCAGCCATCCAAAGTAGCGTGCCCGAGCTGACAGGGAGGAGAACTGTTAGTAAACAAAACAGTCCCTCCTCCCCGTCAGAGATGCTCAGTAATCACTGGGGCGCCGCGGCCGCAAATGGTGGCGCGTGCCCCCTACCCGGAAATGCAAAATCATGTGTATATAAATATGATTTTGCGCACCCATGTCGCCCTGTACCAGTATATCTGCTATAGGGTGGTGGGAAATCGGTTATACTGCATTTAAAACAACACACCTAGGTCACCTCCTATGTTAGCCTTGGACAGTGGAGAAACAGGAACAGACTGCTGGGGTCATCTGTCCACTCTCTCCTCCTCTCAGCATGTTCCATGGCATGCTGAGGCATGAGCCAACACCTCATTGGTCAAGTCAGATCCAGGTATTTACAGCAGATGCATTTAATTTTTTTTTGTTATATAAAATAGCTACATTCATTGGTGTGTTTTATGTGCTTAGAGCTCAGCTTTAATAGGTCCCATATATACATACCTTTAGAATTGAAATGCAGTGAGACACAAGGCCACTACAAAATGAGAAAAAAAAGGGTTGTTTTAATTTAAATTACTTTTGTTAAAATCATAGTTTGCTTGTTTTTAATACAATATTTGTCTAAAAATATGCAATTACAGAAACTGTTTTTAGGCTGCACCCACAAGCTGTTAGCATTTTTTTCTGCTCATAGTGTTATCCTATGTGTCCATGTACACTATTTTATGTTAGAAGCATGTTTCAAGCTTCAGCGTTTAGGAGCAAAAAAAACATTTTTTTGTAGAGTTTTTGAGAGTTTTCCTGGCACAATAAAAACACTAAATACTCCTAACAATAACTTTTTTCAAGGGTTTTTTCTCTTTTTTTTTTCGTGTACTGTAAAACACTCCTAAAATTCTACTACAAGCCGACACAAAAAATCTATCATAAGCAATTTTCATCCAACATTTTTTTTTTGAGGGGGGCATTTTTTGAGCTTATAATAAAAAGCTAGTGTGCATGGAGCCTTGGGAAAAAAAAATATATATATTTTCATAATTGTGCTTTTTTAAACTGACTGTAGGTAGCAGTGCATGATTTCATCAACAATAATTCAAAGAATGTACAAGGCCATTAACGGTGAGGACCGGGCTGGATGGTATGGCAGGCGAGGTGGCAGTCTGGTACTTTTAATTATTCATGGAATGTGTTACTGGCCATCGGCAACATCATATGCAGCTGGTTGTATGCTGGCACTGAGAGACCTTCCAACCTTGGCCATGGCGTAAGTTGGCTACACAAAATCCAGTACTGACAATGGGAACGTGGAGTCTCAAAGATATGCAGGACGCCGTGGGTAATTGTAGGGATCGAACCCATCCACAACCAAAATTGTTAGTTTTGGTGGACTGATCCTTTAATTCACTTCTCCGCCCTCATCCCACTTTCCTTCCTCCCTCCATCACATCCATTGCTTATTGGCAATGTTTTGAAATGATTTTTTTCTTTGTATGGTTTATGCTGCGGTGCCATGTAGTATGTGTGGGACAGGGGTCTAACCCAGGCACTACACGTCTGACATCGTGTTGCTAGGTACTCTGGTGGAACCTTAGGGGGGCCATAATGCGGTTTTGGAGTAAGCGGTGTAATGCATGATGTGATGGATCAGAGGACTTTTTCTCTGCACAGCACATTAGGCATCATATCGCAGGGTGAATGTATTTATTGTATGATTGTGACTGTGTTGATTCAAGGACACTTTATGGTGCGCCAGGAAGCGCCTCATCCACCAGCAGGAGAGGATGTCCATTGAGGACTGTCGCAGACTGGTCCACGGTCTGCTCAGAAACTACAACCTGATGGACTTCATGGAGGAAGAGGATGTCTGCAGATTTCCCCTTCCCCCACTCTTTCTCGCATGTCTTTGCCCTTTCAATAAAGCTTCGGGCCTGTGAACTCTTTTTCCCCTCCCTCATCCTGCTTTCCTACCTCCCCCCCATCACACCCGTTGCGTTTTAAATTATTTATTGCCAATGTTTTGAAACAATTTTTCTTTGCATGGTTTATTCTGCGGTGCCATGTAGGATATGTGGGACAGGGGTCTAACCCTGCAAGTATATGATCCAAACGCACACGTTCCTGCGTTAAAAAATGGCTGTGTGTATGAGTGGGTGCTGCAGTGACCGTCGGCTGGAACCGAACAAAATCAGCAAGGAAAAAATGTCACCAGCACACCGAGGATCACCAATATGGGTCCAAAGGTTTTAATAAACCATCACATAGTTACAGCAAGGCAACGTTTCGGAGTCTCGCAGGACCCCTTCATCAGGCATGTGACAAATCGTGATAGAAACTGGAGAACTATTTAAAAAAAACCATCCACCAATCAGAGTGAAGTGAAATGAGCTTGGCCCCACCCCATGATGTCATGTTCCCTCCAAAAATGTATTCAAATCAATGTAAACAGAAACAATACAAACTGCAAAAATAAATAAACAATAATCAGATGTACATAAACTGCATTCCTGGGGATATAAACATTGTGGTCACATGTGTATCATGGTACTCCCCGGATTGTAATAAAGGTGTCAGCTGAAAGCAGCGCTGGGTTCTGGAATCAACAACCAGCAGCATATATGTCCATGACAGAAGATAAAGACTGTTACCTAGAAATATGGGAGGGTTGTCTCCGATTGCCAAGTTAGCTGCAATGGGGACACACCTACAGTGGTCCTATTAGTGCAGCGGCCGACAGTTTCATAGCGACGCATGTCACCTGCATGCACCATGAGAGTTTACTACTCACACATGCGCTCAAAGACATTCCTGCACCGGTCGCCATCATCATGGAAACCCATGATGTTGGCGCCGGAAGGACAAGGCGGAGGCAAATCGCCGGCGTCATAGAAACATATGGCGCCGACGCCACACAAACCAATGGGTGGGCGGGGGTTGCAGAGATGAGCTGTGAAGAAAAAAGAACACAAAGAAAACAGATTGAGGGCTAGTTCACACCACATGCATTTCAGTTACTTTTCATCTGCATCCAAAGATAAAGTAGTATACTATACATGGTTGCCAATGTCATAGTTCACATCAGTGTTCGTAGTTCCAGTGCGTTCCAGCTGCAGATAAAAAGCAGAACAAGCCGCATCTCACTCGTACAGAGTTGCACTAGAATACTGCAAAACGCATCAAAGCGCACCGGAGTGCACCAAAAATATGCCAATTACACATATCCCCATCTCAAATGAAAAAAGAGAGGGGAAACAAATGGACTAGAATGTATAAAAAATACTTTGGAATGCATAACAAACGCACAAGATATGCCAAAAACCGTGTCAAAACGCACAGGCAAAGACGCATCTGGAACGCATCTCGACTACGTATTTATAGTGCGAACCAGCCCTGAGAATGATGATAATCAGTCCATGAATGGAGCTGGGGAAAAGTGAAAGAGAAGGGAGTGATAAAATGGAAAAGAGGCAAAAAAAAAAAAAAAAAAAAAAAAAAAAAAAAAAGGAATGTAAAAGGGGTGACACAGCTCGCCTACTTGCAAGAAGAAAGAGAGAGACCACTGTGAATAGTGCAAATGTGAAAAATCTAAACCAAAAGTTATCTACAAAACTATATACACTTCAATCATGAGGAATCATTATAACCAAAGTTCATCTGCGATCCAAAAAGCACAAATATGATGTGTTAGTATTAAGTCCCCTCGGTTGTGTTGTGTCAAGGGTATGGATCCAATAAGCTTCACGACGGAGGAGGAAGTTGTCACGATCTCCTCCTCTCGCCAATCGACTGACGTGTTCAATGATCATGCCCCTCAATTCATGTACCTGGTGTCCTGCCGAAATAAAATGGACCGCTACGGGTTTACTCAAATCAATGGGTTCACCTTTGGTACTCTTGACTAGAGCTGTCCTAATGTCACTCCTATGTTTCTGAAATCTTCGCTTAAAGGGACCTTTTGTTTTGCCCACATAAACTAGTGAGCATGGGCATTTCGAATATAAACGCAGTGATCCGTGTTACAGTTCAGGTAACCCTGTATCTGGTAACGTTTCCCACTGTGGGGATGTGTGAAATATTCCCCACAGATCAATGAGTTGCATACATTACAATTGTAACACTTATAGCAACCCTGTCTTTCTGAGAACTTAAATACTGCCTTAGCGTATTTGGTCCTAGGGTCCGCTTGAACTAATAAGTCACGTAGGGATCTACCTCGCTTATGCGCCATCAATGGTGGATTCTTTAAGTTGGGTGATAGAGTGTCATCAGCTCTAAGGATGTTCATGTTATGCATGACCGCTTGTTTAATACGCTCAGATGCCTGATTGAAGCGTGTATAAAGAGCGGCCTGTTGACTGCCCTAGGGCTGCCTTCAGAATCTGCCATAGCTCTGGCTAATGCCTGATCAAGTACTCGAGTAGGATAACCTCTTTCCACAAATTTTCTATACATGGCCTCAAGTTGTTCTCTCCTGTCACTCATACAGGAACAAATGCGTAACACCCTCTTGAACTGTGAGATAGGCAGGCTATCACGGAGATGCTTGGGATGTGCACTCTGGTAATGTAGTAGGGTGTTCTTGTCCGTTGGTTTTGAGAACACAGATGTCTGGAGTGTACCCTGATTGTTAGTGATCCTCACATCAAGATATGTAATGCTGTTGGGGGATATCTCGGGGTTGAAAATGATACCAGGAAAGATGCCATTAAGCTGGTCAACAAACTCATAAAAAATAGATGTTTCCCCTTTCCAGATAAGGAAGATATCATCTATATATCTTAGCCAGCATTTGACATGATCAATGAACAAAGGCATGACATAAATGTTGTGCTCCTCCATATACCCAACAAACAGATTTGCAAAGGAGGGGGCAGCAGAACTGCCCATGGCAGTGCCGCGTATTTGGGCATAGATGGTCCCCTCAAATGCAAAAAAATTGCTTTCAAGTACAAAACGTAAACAATCAATAAGATATTCACATGGGAGATTCTGGGCATTTGATCCGGACCAGAAATGTCTAACCGCCACCAAACCTGCTTCATTAGGTATACTTGTATACAAGGACGAAATGTCCATTGTTGCTAATTTCCAATTTTCATCAAATGCCGAGAATCCCCCAAGTTTATCCAAAAAATCCCCTGTGTCCCTGACATATGCCGGCAGGTTCTGAACCAATGGTTGAAGATGGAAGTCCAGTAGCTGAGCCAAAGGTTGAGTGATTGACCCTGTGCCAGAAACAATTGGCCTAAATTTTAAAGGGTTTGTGCCCTTGTGGATTTTAGGTAACCCATATATCACAGGTAGTCTTGGATGGTCATCGATCAAGAATTCAGCTGTCTCATTAGAGATCCAACCGTTGGCTTGGCCAATGTTGATGAGAGAATTCAAAGTATTCATGATGCCTTGAGTAGGATCCACAGTAAGTTGTAGGTAACTGTTAGTATCAGCTAACATTGATAACATGCCCTCCCTATAGTTTTTATAATCCATGATCACAATAGCACCGCCCTTATCCGCGGGCTTGATGATAATATTTTT